AGAGGCCCCAGTGGTGACGGTGAGCAGCAGGACGGAGGCCGACGATGGGACGGAAAATCACGTCTGCCGCGTGGATGGCTTCTACCCCAAGGAGATCGATGCCTCCTGGAGGAGGGACGGGGAGGTCTGGCTGCAGGACAACTTCCATGGGTCTGTGGCCCCCAATGCAGATGGGACCTACCACTACTGGCTCAGCATCCGGATTGATCCCCAAGAGAGGGACCGCTATCGGTGCCACGTGGAGCACGATGGCCTGCAGGAGCCTGTGGCCATGAAGGGTGAGAGGCTGCAGGGGGGAGAGGCTGGGTTCTTTTTCAGGCTGGAGGATTGTGGGAGGAAATTTGACCCCAGCTGTGTCCAGATGTGAGCATCCTTGAGCTTTAACCGGTGGTTTTTCCCATGTTTGAGGTTTGTGGACCTGCAGGGAACAGTCTGTAGAATCAGCTTCCGGTTCTTGAAAGGAAGCAGCGGAGTCCCACCCCAGTGGTTGTCCCATCCTGAGGAAATGCACCCAGATCCTCCCTTAGCCTCTCTCCCGCCCTGTTTGCTGCCTCCAGCAGAGCAGGAGTTACGTTGAGCCCAGAAACAGGTTTCCTTTTGTTTGGAATTCCTAAAGTGCAAAAATCAGGAGGAGTTGGGTAGCCGCTTTTCTGAGTACCAAATTGCATTAAAATGTGTGATGCAAATGAATCATCACAAATGAAATGCATAGAGTGGCTGGACTGATGCATCAGTAGTAAGAAAAGGAGCTGCCAGTCTGATTTTTTGCCATCGTAGACGAACACGGCTTTCCTCCTGTAAAGAACAAAACACCTCTGTGCATTGCTGCCCTAAGAAAGAGATGCAGACATTATTTTATGATCAGTAATTGATTGCGATTCCTGAGGCTCAGCCTAAAACCAAAGGAAAAAGCCTTGTGTCAAACAACTCTGTATATGCTAATAACTTCCAATGATATTTTTTTTACTCTGGACTTCCAAAACTGCAGAATACCAGTCTTTTATTGATGATAGCATCACAATTATAAATATGCTCAAATTTTATTGTTATGCTGATATCCGAGGCAGAATAAAATACTTTGGTTTCTTTACCAAGCATCAAATCACAAGCTCCATGGCTGCTATTCAGTGAGGGTCACGAGTTTTGTCCAAGAAGGATTTAAAGATTTCCTCCTCAAACCTGCCCCCCTGAAACATCCTCCAAGTCTTTTTCAGCCTTTTGAGGGCCCCTCTGGAAGTTGGATGTCACCATATTCCATTTTTTCATCCTGAAATTCTGGAAGCACAAAATACCATTTTTTGCCATTTTTGCCATTTCTGGACTTGCAACAACTCCCCACCCCCTTCTGGAACAGACACTCCCCCACATCCTTCTCCCCAAATGCTACAGTGAAACATCCAGATCACCAGAATTTGGTATTTTTTCTTTCTTGTTCACTGCACTGAAATAGAAAACAGA